CAAAAAAGCTTCTCTTCAAAGAGAAAGGGAACATTATTTTGGAGAGAGGCATTGTAGGTGAAGGCATGAAAACAAAGTGTACATATTTTGGACTGGATCATCCCACTGTAGGAAAACCCATAGGGGAAAGTTCTGAAAAAGGAAGCATGTGCAAAATATCCCTGCAGAATATCCCTGCAGAATTCCTCCCTGATCATTCCCTTGTGGCATGAGAGGTTTGTCTTCCACATGGAACCCAACAATAAACACCTGGAAAATACTTAAGGATTCAAGTGCAGCCCGTGTAGTTAAATCAGAGGTTGTGTGACACTGCACTAGGGACTAGATTCACAAAAGGACTTAACTGTATGCCACTGTGGGCACCTAAATCCTAGAATCAGCCCATAGGAACACACACCTCTGAGACATCCAAAAATCACTCAGCACCTGAATTTTTTGCAGTAAATGAATTTATGTTTCTACCTATAAGCATGAGCACTGCAGCTGCATGGGAGTTATCCAAATGCCCAAAATACCATATTCACTGACCAAGAGCAGGTAGGTAAGGTTCCCTCCCCCCCTCGACCTAATCACCTCCAGGGCCTGATTTAGAAAAGCAAACTCAGACCTCACCTTCAAGATCAGGCCCCTAACAGGTAAGCTCATACAAAATGAGAGATTGGGGAGAGCAAGTCTTTCAGAACTTTTAACCGAGTGGTAAGGGTATTTACCTAGGACATCTCTGGTTGAAGTCCTCCCCTGCCCCTGAAGTGGAAGAAGGTTTGAACAGGAATCTACCACCTTTCAGATGAGTGCCCTATCCAGTGGTCTATGGGATATTCTTATGTGAGGCTCCCTCAGTTTCTCCTGTTGAAATGGAGGTATTCTGATTTTATTTATGTATCCATCAACATTCAGTATCACCAGGCCTAAGTTTCCTTGTGAATCTAGCCCTGTGATGCATCAGAGGAATGCAGGCCAGCATTCAGCAACTAAAGGGTTAACCTTAGGTAGCTAGGAGGTGTTGGCAGGAAGCCAGGAAAGCCAATGGGAAAGACTATTGAAATTTAAATTGAATAGGTATACCTGCCTGCTGCTCTCTTTGTGTGAGTTTTAAGCTAGGAGCTGGGGGAAACAAGATGAATTGACAGGCAGAACATCATGCTTACAAGAAATACTGGGCAAGGAAATGGACTGGACTTTGAAGTGATCATCAGCAAACAGAAGAATGTCTAGTTGCAATCACGTTATTTTTTTGTTTTATTTGGTTAGCTTCTCTGTGCTAAGTCCATGTGCTACCCCTCTACTCCCTCCCCCCATTCACTGTATCTAAGTTACTCCCAGAGATAACAGTTTCTCTGTGTTTTAATCTAGTCTTCTGAGTTGCTCTAACACCTAGCAATAGGGTTGCCAGATACTTTCACAAGAAATCCTGAACCCCACTCCTCCTGCCCTCGCCAGATGTGAGAGAAATTGAAAAATACTGGACATGTAAAATTTTGGTTTTTTTAACCAGACAGGGGCCAGAAATAACAGACTGTCTGGGTGAAAACCAGACACTTGGCAACCTTACCTAGCAACCAAGTATGCTTTATCAACAATATCTTTGTTAAATCACCTTTTTTTAAGGTGATGATATGATTGTGTCCTAAAAGGTAGCATTAGGTCATCATATACAACAGCTACTGAATGCATACATACATGTGGAGAAAACTTGATTCACTGGGCTGTTATAATTTGGACAATAGAATTTAATAGATTTAAAGCCTAGTGAATTCTGGAATCTCAGCAGTTTTATAAAAATTACCCAAGAGTTCATCCTTCAGGACTGTCTACACTGGGGATGTTTATCAAAATATATCACCAGCACCTATTAAACTCCCCTGATTTTAACAATGCTAAGAGGCTTAGCCTATAAAGTGCCACTAGGCTTATAAGTGTAGAGTTCAGGTGATATGCCCAAATTGAACTGTTCAGGGTCCTTTCAAATGGGATGATTAAGTTGTACACTGATCTCAGCATACTATTGTAAAAGCACCCTTCACTTTCTCCCATAACTCCCTTTCACCTCCTCTTTTGTGGAGAAGGGATGATACAGGTGATGTGAGCAAACCCTCCCTCTTACCAGTCATACATTTTACTGTCTAGCTGAGTGAAATGCCAACACATGCACCATGCAATAAATGCTAGTTTTAATCTAAAGTAACAAACATTACAGATTCAGTGAATATTAACTTTTGCCATGTGATGGGGTATGCGCGTTTTGTAACTCTGACTTGGTCACAACTGTGGACAGGAAACATTTCTTAGAGTTTTTGTATATCACACCCTTGTTCCAGTCATGCTAGTTCTTTAAGGTTGTTTTTTTCTTTCAAATTTAGAAGTATGGAAAACAAACTTGATGTATAATGGCCACAATGTATTAGTCATGCACTACTGTAAATTTCATTGCACTAGTCACATTACCCATAAGCAAGATATTTTAGATGAGCTAGTAGTTCATCTTTATTATTACTGAGTATTAAGTCAAAACTTTTCACATTAGCATGTAGACATGAAAAATGTATTCCTAACTGTGCAGCCTAAACCAAGGGTCTGTTCAGTGTTGCCATCTCTCATGATTTTATTAAGTCTCATGATCTTCAGGCCCCACAAAGGGGGCAATTGTCCTGAGGTCCAGTGATTCAAAAGGGCCCAGGGCTCTTGGCTGCTGCTGCCATCGCCACTACTATGGCAGCAGCAATGGCTAGAGGCCCAGGCCCTTTTCATTGCCACTGGAGCCGTTTACAAGGTGCTCCAGAGGTGCAGAGGAGTTCCTGGGGGAACCTAACCCCAGCACTGCTCCCAGGGTCCAGCAAGTCTGTCAGCCCCACCACTGTTTTTCGTAGAGTCCCACGTGTTGGAATCAGATTGGACTGAAAATAAAAATCTACCTTTCATTAAACAAACAAACAAAAAAACCCACACAATTTGAATCCTGAGTGCTGTGGAAATCTTCAAAACATGAATTAAGTGTACCCTAATAATATGTCTATTTCCTGAGGCTTTATTTTGTAATAATCTCTGGCTGTTTAATTCTACTATAACCCATCAGGGCTCATGGAGGGGCTTTTCCCCCCTTTGGATCAGTGTGCAACCACTCTGCCTCAATCCACCGAGTCCCTATGGTCCTGGGTCTCAGACCTGCCATCAGACCAGATCAGCAGTCAATAAGCCAGTTTATTTAATTAGAGGCCCACACCCTGGTACAGGGCAGGGTAACAAACAAATGGTCATGGAAGATTAGGCCCTGGTTCAAGGCGGAGCCATATACAAGTTTACTGGGTTACTAGCATAACCCCTGGTTCAGGGCAGGACAGCAAACACAGTCAGTGGCAGGGTACATAGTAGCCCAGGGCCTAGTGCAGGGAGGGCAGCACTACAAGCAGTCAGAGGCCCAGGCCCTGGTTCATGGTGGGGTGGCAAACAAACAGTAGTTAGTCTATACAGTCAGTAGCTCAGAGTAAACAATCAGTTGGGTGTCCTTGTTCGGGGCAGAGAAGACTTGACAAACCCAGGCAGTTGGCCTGAAGTAGTGACCCAGGCAGTTGGCCTGAAGTAGTGGAAGGAGAGAGACTGCTCTAGTGCCGTTAGGGCCCTGGGCTAAAATGCAGTGGAGTGGGTGGGAGTCTGCTGATGAGTCAGTGGGGATCTGGACTGCAACATGACGACTGGCTCTGGCTCCACCAAGCTATAGTTGGCTATCCCTGGGCTTCTTCTGTACTCTTCCTCTATCAGGGCCTCCGGCAAGTCCTCTGGGGTGCTTGGGCTCGGACGCTCTGGCAGGGGTTGACCTTCCTCCCAGTCACTGTCCATCAGGAGTTCTGATGGTCCTGGCCAGTCCTCAGCCTCCTGCAGGTACGGTGGTCCAGGCCAATCCTCAGATTCCCAGCTTGGGAGCATGGGGCAGGCATCTGGTTCCTCTGGTGGCTGGGCCTGGACTGAGGTCCTAGGCTGGGTTTATAGTCCTAGCCACACCTCCTGACTTCTAGTAAGGGCAGTGGGTAGGCCAGACTCTGTCCAAGAGAGCTCACAGAGGGGGGCTTTTCCCCCTCCAGGTCAGTGGGTGGCCACTCCACCTCACTACACCTATCTTACGATTTTTGAAAGTGTGGGAGTGTCAGTACTACAAGAACACCCAGGAACCATGATGCCCATAGATAATGTTGTTCAACAGCTGAGTAGTCAAAGTCACAGAGTGGGTCACAGCAGAAAGGAGCTCTCGCAGAATACCCCCGGGGTCTGCAAGATAACATGGATTGAAGAGTACTTGATCTCCAGTTCCACACTAGGCTTTGACCCAGAAAATTAAAGTTTAAAAGTCATGGAAGTAGATGAACTTGACAGAGGACAGATTCCTGATGAGCAGAGAACACATGCTGGGGAGCCAATGGTTCCCCATTTCTCAGTTTTGAGGTCTTCTGCTCTGATTTGCCCCTATTCATTTCCTAGCAGAAGGGAATATCTGGGTCTTAGAAAATGTATTATGGAGTCTATTTAAAACACACACACACACACACACACACACACACACACACACACACACACACAACAAATCCTTACATATATTACATGATTTCAAAATCAGGTATACCTTCCAGTCTTCCATTTATACGTATATTTCACTGGTTAATAAAATCATTAAATAATTCTAATCTAGTCTCTTGGGTAGTAACACAGATTTGGGATGCAGAACTGAAGTTCAGAACTTTCTTGAAACTCTCAAAGTGGTGGAATTTCACTCATTTAAGCCTTGGCTACACTAGAAAATTTACGGGCAAAAATTCCATGGTTTGCCATTAGCACACAAGTAGTTTACACAAGGTTTTGGCAGACCTGAACACTCTCAAATAAACTTGCAGTAATCTAAATCAGGACTTGATTCTGCATCATCAACTCATTGACTTTAGGCCTCACTTCTTCTGATCTAGGTACTGATTTAAGAATCACTGCCCTTCCAAAACAAAATATGAAAGAGTTACCTCATAAAAGAAATTGGTACGTCCCACAGATCCAATTTTCCCGCAGTGGTTCATGAAACAAATGTTTCCTTCAGTAGCCGCATAAAACTCACACATCTTGAGGTCACCAAATCGGACTAAAAATTCTTGCCACACATCACTTCTTAATCCATTTCCTATTGCCATGCGAACTTTGTGATCTTTTTCTCCTTCTTTCTATTAAAAAATAAATTAAAAATTTAAAGAGTAAAGTATTGTAAAAGGTATTTCATTGTACCAGATAGTAAAGAAAAAAAATGTGCAAACTTACAGAAGTCCAACAAAGCAAAAGAGAAACTAAGTTAAAGTAAATTATATTGCATTTCTAATGTTGTGAACTATATCTAGTATACAGCTGTAATTCAGCAAACATTGAACCAGTGTTATAAATATGCATGTCAACTGACTGCAAAGATTATAATGCTGCCTAAAATGAGTATTAAAAAAAGGATGCTTGGGTTAGAGAATATGAATATATGCAGTTTTTAGAAAAATCAACCTATCATTCTTCGGTCTAGAACAATTTTTAATTTAAAATTGACATTGACGAGGCATTTAGTAAAAGAATAGGGAAAGCAGAAATTGCATAACAGATTTACGTTGAGATGTTCAGTTTCCTCCATGTTACTTCAAAAGTTAAATGTAGAAGTGGCCAAGATTTTATGAAATTGCAAATTATAATTAGAGTATATTATAATGTTCTAATTAGAGTATCTGATCCATCTCTCTTATAGCAATTCCAATAGTGAGCTTCATAATCTCTCAATTTTATTCAATGTTACTTGGCCTATTTTGGCCTCCTTATACATGGCAATCTCTTATTATTGCTAACTCTTATGATTCTCAATGGAACCACAATATTGGGCATTTTTATTAAAGTACTAGGTCTTGGATTCAGTTGATCACATGAGAATCTCAGCTTTTATTTAGAATAAAGTTTCTAGTGATTATGGTTGCAGGGAAAAGCTTGGAAACGTGATCCAAATGTATCCAAAAGGCTCCAACACTAAAAAAGGAAAATTAAAAAAAACCCACCTCATTTAAAAAAAAAATCTCACGATTTCAAAGCTGAACCCATTTCCTGAATGACTGGGCCTGGTAATACTTAATCTCCCTAAGTGAGATGACAGCATAAATTAAATATAGGATTTTATGAGAGACCACTATAAGCTAGTAAGTCAAGAGTGAAACTGCAACAATTATAGTCATACAAAGAATGCATTGGAGACATCTGCACTGGAATAAAAGACCTAGGCATGGCTGTGGTTGGCTTGAGTCTGCAGACTAAGAACACAGAGCTAAAAACTGTTGTGCAGTTATTTGGGCTTGAGCTAGAGTCTGGGCTCTGGGACTCTTCCCCCTTTATTTTTTAATCATTAAATAAACTTTTAGGTATGATTATAGTGACATTAAGTGTTATATGTTAAATAAAGCAGTGGTCATAGATGGGTCTAGTAAGCTGGTGTGTACTGTTTTTTTGGAAGCAGTAAGTTCCTCTTGCCAGCAGAGGGGACACTGAGTATAGGAGACCTCAGGCTCCTGGTCCTCAGTTTCAGTGCAAGCACCACCATGGCTTGAAGCATCCAGTTCAGGAAAAATCCAACTGTGCCTCATGGCTCTGAGCTGGAGCATGCTCAGTCCTATGCAGCCTGGTCAGTACTAGGAGCTGAGAGAGGCTTGAGCGTATTCAAGGAGAACAGACTTTGTGAGATTTTTACTGCTATCATCAAAATAGTCTAAGCATGTACAAAGTGCAATTTTTCCCAAAGACTTATAAATTCCTCAAATTTGAGCACATTTTCATAGGGACAGCAAAAAGTCATGCCCCAACTAATTTTCCACATGCTGCTTCCAAGCATGGGACTTCTACTGTTCAAAGAAAAGATTACCAGAGTTGTGTTTATTTTAAAATACATGAGTCAAACAATATACTTCCTCCCCAGTTTTGATCTTGGAAATGGCTGAAGGGTTCTTGCAGAAATTAAAGTCAGGCTGAGGCAAACCTACAGCCTGTGAAATTTCAGCACAGACAGTGGTAGTTTGGCAATGTTATAAGCAACTAAACATAGGATCTTAGGTGTAAGGACACTTTAATTATACCAGCTTCACCTATAATACTATAAAGATAAATAGGCTTTTCTAATGCACTGCTGCATTGCTGATGAATGATACACTCAGGTCAGACAACCCTACTAACATTGGCTACTCTAGAAAACAGGGAGACAATTTCAAAGTAAGCATGATACATGGAGCTCCATTGTTAGACCTCAGAACATCATAGTGGAGAGAGTATTTCAGTACACATTTCAAATGAACTCTGAATTTCTTTTTTTTTTTTTAAACTGTGGAAGTTCTATTCCACTATGTTGGTCAAAATGCACATTTTTCTTCTCTTCCCCTTTCCCATCCATTCCCTTTAAGAATGGATAACAGTATGAGAGAAGATCAACATCTTTATTAGTTTTGAGAACCCCACTTCAAAGAACCAGAAATAAATCGACGTTTAATGCAAGTTTGTCGAGTCATAGGACTGGGAGGGACCTTGAGAGGATATCTATTTCAGTTCCCTGCACTCATGGCAGGAATAAGTATTATCAAGATGAGGGATGGATAAACTATGGCCCATTGGGGAGTGGGAGTGAGGGCTTGCCTTTCCTTGCTCTGAGCAGTTCCCAAAAGCAGAGACAGCAACGGAATTCCACATACTACCCCCGCCCCAAGCACCAGCTCTGCATCTCTCATTGGCTGGGAACAGCAGCCAGTGGGACTTTCGGAGGGAGAGGGGAAAGCCTGCAGATGGGGCAGCATGTAGAGCCATGTGACTGAGTCTCTACATGGGAACGAGGAGGGCAGGGGCAGAGGGACATGCCTCAGGAATTGATTTCAGGTAAACGTTATCCAGATTCTGCACCCCTGAGTCCTCCCATGCCTCGATCCTCTATCCTGACCTTGAGCCCCACCTCCTGAATCTCTCCAGCTAGGAGGATGTTCCGGGCCGGGCATCGTAAACATCCCATATCCAACCCCATCCCAGAAATTGCACCCCCCTCCCCCATCCCTTCACCTCCCTTCTTGTGCTCTAATTCCCAGCCCCTATTGAAGGCTTCCTCCTGCCCTCTAAACTATTTGGTCCGAGCCTGGAGCACACTCCTGCACCCTGAACTCTTCATTTTTGTCCCAACCCCAGACCCCACACTCCCAGACAGAGCCCTCACCAACCCCAAATTTTAGGAGCATTCACAATCCTCCATACAATTTCCATGAACAATATGTGTTCCTCAAAAATTTTGCCCAAGTCTGATCTAGACCATTCCTGATATTGGCATCTCTTAAGCATGCAAATATCAAAAGCATCCATTGTCTATTGCAATCTCTGTTCCACTCACCTATGCTTTTATTTGCTCTCTTGGCCTCCATGTTTTTACCTTTCCCCTACTGCTCTGTGACCTCACTTCACAGTAAGACTTATGCAACCACCATTTCTATAAAGTCCCATACAACCTTGTTCTTTTCCTGTCCCTGCTGATCTGTTATCTTCTTTCAACATAGGATGCATTATTCAGCATGATGGGACTGACAGAAGGTATTATCAGCAACAATAGGATCTAAATACTGCAGTGCCTGACTTTGTCAAATTTGGATTTCACATCACATACCACAATCTAGCTTTGCACACATTTGAAAGATGCAATGAGATTTTTATCTGTATTTTAAATTTACCAAATAGTGAAGTGTTTGACTACCAATAGATTTGGGGGGAGGGGGAAGCGAGGGGGCGGCAGGAAGTATTTAAATACCATCTTGCATTTCAATAGAAAAGCTTTGGGATTCATTTTGCTTCTAGAAAACAGTTTATCCTCTAATGCTATAAAATAGACAATGACTAGCCAATTTGATTTAATATAGTAACTTTTTAAAACTTATTTTTCTTTCAGATTTCATTGCTACACTGAAATTAATGTGTCAGTTGCTGAACTGCAGTTACCCCTTGTTGAGGTCATTGATTTCTCAGTCATTCACATTTAAAGAATTTTGGTAACACCCCACTGAAAACAAAACAAAGAACTCCTTTCATTGAAATAATTTGTTCAACAATAAACAGAAGTCAGAGAGAGAAAGAGGGACTGAGAGAGAAAGAAAGTATGTATACATAGATTGAATGGCTCATTCATAAGCCAAGGGAAATTGAAACTCTTTAGAGATAAAGTTTAGAAACAGGTAACTGTTTCTATTTATAGTAGTCAGGAATAAAGAGAACATTGTTGATGGTATGCTGAAGGACAGTTCCACACAAGGGAAAAGATTTATTTCCACCATTGGAAATCCAGAGTAACTATTGCAAAGTCAATAATCCTCTCCAACCTCAACCTCTTTGTCTGCTTTGCATTGCTCCAGTACAAAGTGGCCCTAAACTCAGTGCAACTGGACCCCAAATCTCTCTGAACAGGCAGATTTTCTGAAGGAGAAAAACACACACACACACACACACACACACACACACTGCTGAGGATCTTGCCCAAAGTCTCTTTGTGGCTACAATTTTAATGCCATCAACAGTACAAGACAGAGTGATGTATCTAGCAATTCCTCCAAAGGCACAAAGGAATCACATAAAAGGTACTAAAACCACTAGTGACCTTTCCTAAAAGTAGGGGCTGTCCTAAAAGCATACTGTTCAACCATCCCTGCAGTCCAACTCCACACACTTCAATTCTTTATCTAGGTTTAATTGTTGAAGTTACAAGGCTTGTAATTTAATCAAGTTCATAATGGTGACATTAACCCATTAAAAGGAGAATGAATGGTCTGTGCCACAAGCTTCCTGAGATATTCTGTGGGCAGGGAGAGCAGCTGGAGCAACTGGAGAACTGTATATTAATTTAGTTGACTGTGTGTCATCTCTTACTAGGCCAGTATTCAGGAAATGCTGGCTTCGGGTAGGGATAGGCCATTGCGTACACACTCACAGTCCCAATGGCTGGGAGCTTTGATCAGAGACTGTGGATGGGCAAAAGGAGAAGTTACTCACCCTGGCTGTGTCTACACTGGGCCACTTATTCCGGAAAATCAGCCGCTTTTCCGGAATAAGCTGCGAGCTGTCTACACTGGCCCTTGAATATCCGGAAAAGCAACGATGCTCTACTGTACAAAATCAGCTGCTATTCCGGAAAAACTAT